TCTGAATTGACTTAATGTGATGAATGTTTAAATTGATGTGATTAAATTGTTGTCCATACAATTTGGACTAGAGACAATTATGAAATTATTGTTTATTGTCCAATTCAAATCTGGAAATTGAAGAAAACCATTTTGATTGTTTCCAATAACAAGTGATTTTAGGATATTGAGTATGATAGTGAAAAAGGAATTGACGGGGAGAAGTAAGAATTAACTGAATCGGAGAAGTTAGCCAAAAACCCAAGCGAGAAGTGAACCAAAAATAGATAAATTGAGTGTCAACACTTTGTGATGATAACTGGTATTAATTGATTCTTTGATGTGATTGCGTGTTAGTGAGACTTGAAAATGATAAAGATATTTTTTTTTCTTTGTAGTAGATATAACCCAGAGCCAAATAGTCAATCCTGCATTAATTATAGGACATCCATTTGAACCCTTTCTGAGCCAAAAATAATATTGTTTCTTAAACAGAACCCCTGAGCTTAAAAACTATTTATCTACCTTCCTATATTTGAGAAAGTAAATGAGTATGAATGTTATTATTTTTCCTATTGTTGGGTATTGCTATTGTTGTCCTACGGGTATTATTGGGGTGTTATTCTAAAAAAAATGTAAAGATAAAGGAAAAGCAAGCATAAATATTGTGGCAAAGTCATAAAGGATAAATGCAAAAGCATGAGAAAAGAAAAAAAGAAGTCAAAGGGGGGGGGGGAATAATAACTTGTGAGATTATTAACTCACTATCATTATGTTAGGGACAAAAGCATGAAGTTTGAAACCTGACTTGAGGGAATGTTAAACAAGAATCATTCATATGATTTGAATTTCTCAAATACTTTTGTATATCCTAGAAAAACCAATGAATTTTTTCTTAGCCCAGCCCCATTACAAGCCTCAAAAGACCTTTTGATTTAAGTCTTGCTTAACAAATGTTGATTGATTGAAGATGACTATCAATATTGGATTGTTTAAATGAAGTGATTGAATGAGATAGACACGTACCTATGAGATGTGAGAGATCATGCTTCTCTGTGGATAGTTGATGATTTATTTTCCTTTATTAATTTATGTAACTTGAATGCTCATGTATTCTATTTTCATTTGGAGTTGTGAGTTGTGAGTATCACATCTAAAAATTTTTATGTTGTGGTTCTGGAAGAGAAAGTGATAATAGGTGATGATTTTGTTTTGGAAAAATTACTTTGTTTGGGACAAGCAAGATTCTAGGTTGGGGGGAGTTGTTAAGTGGTAAAAAGTTGATATAATTATGCTTTGAATTGTTATGAAACCACTTAACTTATGTTTATTTTAATCTATTTTTCTCTCAATGTAGGATGAATTCGAGAATATCGTGATACAAGAGTAAGGAGCACAATTGTCAACATAATTGGAGTAAAAATGGAAGAAGGAAGATGATTTTCAGCATGGAAGCCGTTCTAGCGAGATGGACTCTCGCTTGAGAGAATATCAGTTATTCTTCTATGAAATTCTATCGCTCAAGCGCAAGTAAATTCGCTTGAGCGAATGTTAGTTATTCTTCTCTGGAGTTCACTTGCTCAAGCGAGCGTTTTGTCACTTGAGCGAAATATGCGAGACCCAATTTTTCCTATAAAAAGATAAGATGTGTTTTAAGAAAAGTAAGCAGTTTTGGGGAGAAGAGGCACGACTACTGCTAGGGTTTCGTCCAATCTTCATCAATTTTTCACTTCTTCCACATTTGGAGAATTGTAATGGCCAACAAGAGTGGCTAATTTCATTCTCTTAGAATTGGTGCACTTCCTTTGAACTCTTTTGTATCATGGTGATATTTTGAGATATTAATCTATGTTTGGATGTTGTTATTCTTATCATTTGTGCTTTGGAATTATTTATTCTTGATGTTTGGGATATGATTGGAAAATATATCTTGAACCCTAGATCACGGTAAGAATATTTGTTATGTTAATTGCCAGGAATGGAATGAATGTATCAATTGCTTAACACCCTAAACCTAATGCTGGAAAATCTCTTAATTGTGTGAGGAATCAATATTTATTAGGTTTTCCTATGAATTTCATATGTAAGGAATCAACATGGATGATTTGAGTAGGTGACATTAATATTGTTAGGTTAATTGATGTTCTTAATTGACATAGTCATTACAAGAGAGAGAAAAGGAAGGAAGCCAATCCTAAGTGCCTTTAGTTGATATTTTCTCAACAATTTACAGTTTTTTGTCATTTAATTTCAATTCAACTCTTTATGCAAAACTCAATTTGTTTTAATCCACTTAGTAAGCATATAATTGGGAATTTCCATTGAAACCGTTCCTCGTAGGATCGAATTTTATTTAATCGAAATACTATACTGCGATTGATAATTTTGGCACGCTTGCCAATAATTCAACATCATGACAAAAATTTTCGAGTCCATATTAGAAACAAATATCATTTATACAAATGATATTCTACTATTCTCTCAAGACATAGACTCTCATAACAAGTTATTCGATCAATTCTTAAGATCTTATCAATTTTCATGATGAAAACTTAACCATAGAGAAAATTCATCAATTTCTTGGAATCATTAATTACATAAGAGAATTCATTCATAATATTGTCAAATATACAACTTTAATCAAGTTTTTAAGGAAGAATCCTTCTTCTTGGGGACCAGAGCAGACTCAAGCAATCAAATAACTTAAGAAAATATCCAGATTTAAAAGTCTCAAGGAATGGAAAAAGAATACTTCATATTGATGCAAGTAATGATTTTTAGGGAGCAATTCTTATTGAAGAAGAGACCAACAAAAGGTATTATTATGGTCATGTTAGTAGACAGTTCAAAGATGCTGAGAAACAATACCACACTTCTTTCAAGAAAGCCTTAGATGTAAAAAAAAAAAGAATAAAAAAGTTTGACTTCTATCTTAGATACATCATTTTGAAGTACAAATGGACACCTCTTCTTTTCCCAAGATCCTAGAGTTCAAAAATAGGATGCCTCCAGATCCTCAAATCCTCCGACTAAGGGACTAGTTTTCGAGGTATGATTTTTCTGTTAAACCTATCAAAGGAAACCAAAACATAATTTTTGATTTTCTGTCTAGACCAAAGAAAATTGTTCAATTAATTTCTTATATCCATAACTTTTCTCTCATATTTATGGTCAAACCCTTATCCAACAAAGTCAAAACTATAAGAGTTTATCCTCTCGGGCTAAACTCAACCTCTCCAGCAGCCACTTTTTATGCTAATATCCCTTTTGGAGGAATTTTTGAAATATTCTATGAACCTGGATGGGATCTTGGTGAACCAACACTTTGGGCAATATGGTTTAACACTGTTCAATATTTCATCCCCATTGCATTAAAGATACAAACAACTTTTGAGATTCTGACATATCCTCACAAAGAAAAGTTTTATTTCTGGACTCTACTGGAATGGTTTTCACATTTATCTTGGTGGAGACAAGAATTGAAAAGGATTATAGATTTACATCGACAAAGGAAAATGACTAAGGATTCTCTTAAAGCTCTCACTTCAATTTTTATCATCGATCGTCCATATTTTTAAAATCATATAGGGCAACTATGGTAAAAAAAAAAAAGCTTACATTTAGGGAAGTTTTGAAACATATCATTTAGATGATAGCTGCAAAACCCAGTTGGCTAGACATCTTTGCGAAGTCAATAACTATCATTATAGACCGGTGAACCCCAATCTTGTCAGCTCATCCCAAAGACCACTCAGTTCTTATCCTCTAAATAGGATCATTCCAAAAGATGATAGTTTCCAAAAGATAAGATTCTTCAAATCAACGACTAAGATATATGTACCGAAAGAAGAGTTATAGAAAGTTGAAGATTTGACAGATAATTACAATTGATGGAAGAAATGATGTTTCACAGAAGGATGTATCCTTACTTGGACCCACTACACGGAAGTATGACAAGGAGTGAAGTACAACAGATGAATTGTTCCGATTTTACTAAATTTGATTCAAAGTAAAGGCTTTAGTTAATGACGATCATCATGACAAGTTAATAAAGCAATATTTTCTTATCTTTACATGTGTTCATTGCTTGTACTAATGTATTAAAGGAGATAAGAAAGAATATACTTTACTTTATCTGAAAGGATAGGTTATCCTATTTTATCTTATCTTATCTTATCTTGTTTGTAAGGCCATAATAGGTGTGGACCACAACCTTATCTTTGAATTCCAATTTATATGATATTTTCGAGTTTGAATTTTAATTTAGTTTATCGAAGTTTTCAATTCCACTTGTATGACATGCCTATAAATAGGAAGACTTGTAATATTTTAAGGCAGAATCAATCGAATACAAGTTTATTTTCTTAAAAATGTTTTCTCTCTAAGTTTTCTCTTATTTGAAAGTTTAAAGTATATAATTCTTATTATCCCTGTCTTACTCAGATACGAGTATGCTCTACAATTGTCTCTTATGAGAATCCCGTGTATTATCAAACTTCCGATCCCTAAAGTCATTTTATATCAAAGTTCTCTTATGAAAAATATGAATTTGAGTGTGCTTTTAAACTATGGTGGCACCTATATATCCCAGAAAATTCATATTGTCTTGATAAGAAGAAGTTTCTTTGCAAAATGGTATCAATATTTAAATATATTATTATTTTATAAAACGAGTTATTCTAATCCAAATTTATTTAAATATTTAAATTTAAATGGACTATATATAAAATTATTCAACTCAATTTATTTTATGTTAGTTTTTAAACAAAACCAAGCGCGAGAACAAAAATAAAATAAATCTACATAGGAAATTGCTGATTTGAAAATAAAAAACTAAAATAATCAAATATAAAAACAAAGGAACTAAAATTGCATTTAAACCTTATAATTTGTATAGACAAACATAAAAATGAGTTCATCCATGAAAGAGTGAGTGAGCTCACTATATAAAATGGTCACATCTAAATAAATATTAATACATAAATATTAATTAATTAATTATTGAAACAACGTTAAATTGTTCAAAAAGAGGAGAAACATTCGTGTTCCGATGAATTTGAGTCATCACAAGGAGAATGGTTGTGTCTTCCTTCATACGTGGTTATCACCATGCGACAATCTTCTGAGAGTCGTTCAACTCTTTTCTTCACCCTACAGTTGTTGTGAGTACAACGGTAGTAACTTCTGTTCATCATATCCAAAAATTTGTCAATTTCATTATCATAACGTTAAAATTTTAACTTATAAGATTATTTCATGAAAATAAAAGTTAATAATAATCAATCTTATTTTATTATCTTACATGAAAAAAAAAGAGAAAAAGAAAAAAAAGATAGACAAAAAGAGAATGTTATTGTTACATATAGGAGATACTAGAAAGGAAATAATTATAATCATGCATATGATTAAGTTAATTAAGTTTACTAACTGAAATTAGGATTTAGAGTTTAAGTTCTAAAGTTCGTTGAGTATCAGATTCGATTGAGTTTAATTAATCGAGTTGATTAAAGCCTATTGATATAATCTATTCAAAGTTTAATATATTTATCGAGTAATTATCTGAATTTTATTAAAAAATTTATTATGTTAAAATATTAGTTTAAAGTGTTTTTTTTTAATACTATATAAAGTAGAATTTCATCTTATTATTATTCTTTTAATCATTTTTTCTTACTTATTTGTGATATCTCTACCTTTCAGTACAGTTATAAACAACGAGACAAAGTCTACCATAAAAAATTAACATCACATTTTTGTCTAATATGTTGAGAAGTTATATATATATATATATATATAGATAGATAGATAGATAGATAGATATTTCGTAGCCAATGTAAAATTAACCACAACTATACCATACCCATCTATTTTCCATGGAGATCATTATTATCATAATGGTCTTTTAAATATAATTATATTCTAGAGATTTTACCAACAAACATTTTTTAAAAACAAAAAGAACAAGGAAAGCTTAATATAACTACACCTATAAAAGTAATAATTTTATAAATTTAAGCAATTAATCATGTTGGCACTTCATTTTAAATAAAATAAAAAATCAATTATGCTTTTCTCCTTCTTTCTTTTAAAAAATTGTGCATGTTAATTGGTTTTTTGAGATGAGAGAGGGAGAAAGAGGAAAATGAAAAAAAAAAAAAAAAGTTTTAGTTTTGAGATGGAAGAATAGGGTAGACATATAACTAAAAAACAATGAAGGTGAGTGATGGAAAAAAAATGTAAAGTTTAAGTTTTGAGATAACAGGAATATGATAAAAGAGGGTGTGACTAATATATGGGATATTGATTTTTTTTTTCTAATTTAAATTTTATATATGTGTTTAGAAGTAATAAATTATTTAAAAAAACCCATAAAAAATTCATATATATATATATATATATATATATATTATTAGAATTTAAATATGAATAAAAATTTCATATTGAATTAAAATATTATAAACCAGCGAGAAATATTCATAAATCTATTATCTTAATGTTTTATATATATAAATAAAAGTTACACTCATAATATATTCTTTTCTATAATTATCTTCTTTTCTTTAATTAAACTCTAATTTTAAAAAAATACTAATATATATATATATATATATAATTTTTTTTTTAAAGTTATAGTCAGATTTTCTTATTAATTTGAATTCAGTTGATCAAGGTTTGGTAGTGCATCATTTCGGGAAGTTTTCAGTTGTTAAACTAAACTTTCACATTCAGACAAAGTCCCATAATTTTTTTTATACTTTCCGAAGACATGAATGTTCTAAAGTTCCTATGTTCTCGAAGTGACTTAGATTTCCAAAGTAACTTTTTTCATCTTCCTAATTCCACTTCTAAGTACATGCCTTTAAGTACACTTTTGTAATCATGTTCTGCAACCACACCAGATTAAATTTACTTTTCTTGGGTTTGTGATCATGGACACCACTTCAACCATTTATTTTGCTTTGCTTCATCAACTCTCCACACCCAATAAAACCTTTCAACTTGCGACCATGCACGCAACATTAGCATCCACCTTCTTTTATTTTTCTTTCTCTAAATTATTAGTTACCTTCAGTCTAAGTAACTTTTGTTTTCATCAAATAAAACTTTTGTTTTATTTATCATGATTCCTATCATATAAAGAATATGCTATTTGTCAATTTTTTTTTTTTTACTTCATTGTCTTCAAAAAGTTTTTGAACAATATGTCGTGTTGGTGCTGACATTTTTCTGGTTCTTAAATTGTACTAGTTGAATTGATTTTACTTCTGAAAATCATGAATTTTAAGATTAAATTCATCTTCAATTGTAATTTTATTAGGTATATTGAATTTAAAAAATGATAAATATATTGTGTACAAAATATTTATTTTTGTCTTTTTTTGTTTTATTTTTTTAAGAGTTACATCCATTTAAAGTGGGTATATCTATCTTCACTAACTAGGGTGTGTTTAATTTTGTATTAACATATATATGGAGTAAATATATAGTGGAAATTAGAAGTTTAATGCAAAAGAAGTCAAAAGGATGCATTAACTGACAAAAAAAAATATATTATTTATTAGAATTTTTAAATTGAAAAGAATCCCCTCAACCAAATGCATCATAAGGGCATGCACATTAATGTTAAGCATCAATCAAAATCTGAATATCTTTTCCATTGAGCTTCATTTGATTCATTCATACACACTTCCACTTCTTTTTGTTAATTTTCTCTTTAATTCTTCTTGTTATTTTGTTTCATTTAAAGCTAGATTTTTTTTCATTAATCTTCAACTAAAAAAATATATTTTAAAATAAACATTTTCTATTTTGAAGAGTGCAATTCTCCACTTGATGCTTCAAATATTAATTCTTATATTGGGTACATCTTAAAGGCTAATATGAATTACAAATCTTCTAAATATTATTTTAAAAAAAGGTATTTTAAAGATTTTTATATAGAAGTAACCCATCATGAAGTGTTTAAAGATTTTTCATCAGTATATTAATTATTTTTAAAGATTTTCAAAGGCTAAAAAAAGTTTTAAAATTTTAAAAACTTGTGAAGGGAAAAAAACTTTGTTGATTTCTACACTTAGCTTTTAATATACCCATTATACATCCAAAAATTAATGTTCTAAAATTTATCATATTAATATTGAAAACTAAAGTACCATTAAGAGGATGAATATAATGTTTTTTCATAACTCTTTTATAGTATCTTTGATCATGGATACCGTCACCTTTCTATTTTTAAAGAAAATTTTGAAATATAGAAAAAAGAAAATTAATTATTATTATCAAACTCAAATTTTCTTCAACTAAATAAACAAAATGTATCATTGTTATATGATTTTTTTCTTTCTTCTAAATAAATAATTGGTGTGTTTAAATACATGCTATACCTAAACATGATTCAATGCTCCATTATTTAGTGTAAAGAAAGTTGCTACATATACGAACGTGAGATTAGGACCCCAAAAATATGAAGAGGAAATAAACTATATGTTAGTAACAAATATCTCTAGATTTAAAAGAAAAAAAAGTGCATGAACTCTAATATTTTCATTTTCAAACAAGTATAAAAATTGTTTTAAAAATAATTAACTTTATGTTTAATGCATTTTTTGACTATATAAATTAACAAGGGTTTCGTTGTTATTGTACCTTAATATTTGATTTTGCTAATTAGTGATGATAACCTAATTTTCTCTTTAAGAAACAAGATACATTCATTGGAAGTAATTCATGTGATTGCAAAATTATAAATTATTTCTTCGATCTTAAAAGTTTTAATCTTTAAAAGAAAGTAACCGAACTGATTTTCCGTTTTCAATAAAATATTAATTTTTTTATTTTTAATTTACTTCAAATAAACTACATGTGTATTTGTATTCATAATAATATAAAAAGAATACAATTATTAAGTGTGAAAAAAAAATTTAAACAGTAATTAGTTATCTTGGAATGGAGGAAGTAATAAAAAATATTTAAAAGCTAGAAAAAAAAGGGTGAAAAAGAAACCATTATAACATGACACATGACGGTACATTTTCTTATAAAAAAATATTTTTCTTTTTTACATTCTATTGGTAATGGAAATTTGGATGTGAAAAATTAGGTAAATGTTAATGGGTTAGAGAATTTTTTTTTTTTTAAAAAAAAAAAAACAAACTTTAGGTGGAAGTGAAGGGTAGCTTTTTAGTGATGGGTGGAAGAAGTTGGTCAGAAAAACAGCATGACCGTTGGATGGTTTGGAACATAGGACAAAGGAGGGGACCCTATACCATGTACTATTGTCAAAACCCTAATAATAATAATCCACTAAATATTCTCAAGAATATTTCTTTTCCTTTTTACTTCCCAATAAACTAATATTTTTAAAATTACCTCCAAAAAAAAAAAAAAAAAGCCTATTTTTCAGTCTGTACCATCAATCTTCTCTACTCATCACAAGTCCATTGAAAGTAACATCTTGAATCATTCCTTCAGGTTTAGCCAAGATTCTCTCTCTCACTTTCTCTCTTCTTTGTGTTTTAAGTTTTTGATGAATGTTTGAAACAAAATCTAAGATAACAACACTGGGTTCACCTGTGAATTGAGTGAGATTCATTTGGATGTTCCACCACCGACACATGTATTTTTCCTAAACAAAGACATCTTACCTTAATTTCTCCGGGTATAATGCCTATGATGTTGCCAATGGACTCAATCATAGATCATTTGAAAGAGATATTTTAAATGCTAAAATAGACAAAAAGAGATTAATCTAATGGAGATTTACTTCTCTCATTTTTTGTCATTATTAGTAGATCCTAAAATGTCACATGAAGTTTTTAAGAGTTTCATCATTTTTTTTAGAAGCCAAAATGAGTTTTAGAATTCTCTCACAAAATCTTATTAATTAGAACATACACATAAGCTATGCTAACAATCAAACAGCATAAAACTTGATTTTAAGTTAAGAACTTTATAATCAACTTGCATTGCATTGGACATGTTCTAAGTTTTACCTTAAAATACATGTCAAAGAGCTTGCAAAGTGAGCAAACTATGGTGTGTTTGAATTGGCATTAAATTCTGTTTAGGTACACCAGTTTTTTATGAGAGTAAACGTATTTTGTAAAGTGTGATTTTGAGAAAAACAAACGCATGTAATCAAGAAAACAAAGGGTTGATTCAAGAATTATTATTACCTAGGGTGAAGACTATTCTTCACAACTTTCTGACCATACTTCCTCCATTTGTAACCATCATCAAGCACATCCACATCACTTCTTGTCTGAAAACAAAACCGTGGCTCTCTCAGCTTCCTCCTCACTTTCACCTTGTTCTTCTCTGACCCTGCACTTCTCCACCTACCATCACATAAACACAGTAACATAAAAATTTTAAAATATGAGAATACAGCATGTATTTATATATATAAACCACTTAATCCTCAAAGTTCTTCTCCATAAAACAGTTTTTTTCTTAATTACTTCAAAGCAAGATTAGTTAACCTTAAACTGCAAAGCTAAATATCTTAACAAAAATATAAAAAGAAAAAGGGTTATGATATATTTGAAGAATATATGAAGCATGAGATGGACTAGTGGATTCGAGTATCAATGAGTATCAAGACTTTTGAGTATCATGCTCTCTTCCTCTTACCCCAAGAGAGAGAAAGAGAGAATAACATGGAGTACAAAAGCAAGCTCAGAAAGAAAAAGAAGCAGTCACTTCCATATATGGTAGAGACCTTCAGATTCTTCGCAGAAACCTAAAGAATATCTCCTTGGGCATCTAAATTAAATATTTACGTGCATGCAGAGAGAGAGAGAGAGATTAAAATCTGAAGGGTGTGTTTATTGTATATACCATGTGTTGCTGCCATCACTAGTATTTCCGGTGCAATTTTCATCATTGACAGCTTTAGGATCCAGTGTTCTCACCTGAAAGTTCATGGTACCATCTATATAATAAGCAAAACCGTTTCACAGAAAAGAGATCAGAACAGTATACCCTAAAACTGAAAGAGACATGCATCAAAACAAAACTAATAAACACACCAAAAGAAATAAAACCTACAATTATCAGGTACAAGATCATAGTTTATATGAATAGATAGATATAGATACAATAAAGTAAACACCTGTTCATTATTCCAAGAAGTTCTGGATACAAGGTCATTATGGTTAAAACCAATTGTTGCGACGGATCCAGAAGTAGTGGTGGTGGTAGCGGCGGCGACGGTATTACTGCCGCCACCAGGGTTTAGAGACTGAGAGAGCTGAGAAGATTGGGATTGAGCTGAGGGTGCCAAGAAGCTAAGAACCTGATTTTCTTCAAATTGGACAAAACCCATTTCATGGATGGCTTGAGGGGTGTTGGTGAATGAAACTTGGAGGTCATAATTGGGATTGACACTTCTCTCTCCTTCCATACCCCTTTTTATTGAAAGTTTGAAATTGGTTTTGAAACCACCTTGATTTTGGTGTTTTTGGTCTTGTCTTGTTGCTATCAAGCTTTGATCTGGTATAGAACAAAAACTTCTAGGCCATGTGACCTTAGAATATGGAAAGAGGGTGGATTCAGAAGCAGGAACCGGGTGTGTGTGAATGTGGTTTGGTCAACACAAGAAGGTGTTTGTGTTTGTGTTTGTGTTAGGCAATTAAATTGTGATTTCTTCCCCCTTTGCTTAAGGGAGTCTATTCAAAGTCTTGTGCACACTCTTTCTCTCTCTCAGTTACACGTGCAGTGTCCTACAAGTGTTTTTCATTTGGAATCTATCTTCAACAAGTGCCAGAAGAATGAAACTAGGTATTGTCGTTTTTATATGAAAATGATTCTTTCACATCACGCCAGGTTTATACTCATCAACTATGTAAATTGTTTCTTGGTATATATGCATAGACATCATGTGTATTTTCGAATCAAACAAGACATTATAAGTGATAATTCACTTTTTTAACAATTTCATACAATCGCATATATCTAGAGTTTGAAGTTGAAAATTGATATTTAATTATCTCAAATAATTGTTGTGTAGTGCAAAAATGTTATGCGGAAAGTTGTGGTGTGTAATTAATATCAAGTTTTAATATTTTCACACAAAAAGATGGTGTAAAATGTGACAATATTTTTTATCTCAAAATAGTAATTATAATTTTTAAAAATAGTAAAATACTTAACTTAATCTTATAAGTGATTGAATAAGGCAAACATTGTACTAGTATATGTAAGATAATGTTACATTGACTGTATTTTTTTCACTTTCAGAGAATTTTTTCATTACCCCTCTCATTTTCAGAGATCTTATAAAATTTCACATCCATTAAAATATAATAATATTTATAATATATAAGTTATTATAATTATCATCTTAATCAACTGTCACTACAAGAAAAAACACATTTAGCCACCGAAATTAGCGATCGAATTTTTCTGGTCACAATTAGCGACCACTTTAGCGACCGATTTAATTTTGGTCGCAATTAGCTGACCGATTTAGAGACCACTTTCATTCGGTCGCAATTAGCAACCGATTCAACGACCACTTTAATTCGGTTGCAAATAGCGACCGATTTAGCAACCAAAATATGATTTATTTTGCACTTTTTTATTTAGCGATCGAAATAGCGACCAATATTTTGCGTCACAAAATTTCAGTCGCTAAATCGATGGCTATTTTCATACTAAAATAAAAAAATCATTTAGCGACCGATTTAGAGACCGAATTACAAATTGAAATAATGACCGAATTAAAATCGATCGCTAATGAGAAAATAGTGACCGAATTGAAATCGATCGCTAATGAATATTATTTTTTTATTATATTTAATTTTTTTTTATAAATATACTTTAATTGTTTTAGTATATTTTTTACAATTTATTTTTTAAAAGTAATTTATTTTTTTAAAATATTTTAATTTTTAAAATATACTTTAAAAATAAACTTTGGTCTTAATATTAACAAAATGAATTGTAATAAATCAAATTTATTAAAAATTTAAATTGTAATAAATTAAGACTAGAGTGATGTTAACTATTCAATACATTGTTTAAGAAAAGTTTAATAACAAATATTCTTGAATTTATTTTTCAATTGAAAATTTCAATTGAAATTAAATTATATTTTAAAAATTTATATTAAAAAATTGAAGAAAATAGAGATTTAATTATACTTTTAATAAATTTAACATAATAATAGTTTTGATTTTTATTTTTAAATATTTATTTTAATTTTTTAAAACAGAGAAACTATAATTTTAGTTTCTAAATACTAAATTTAAAGAATTAAATTTATTATTATTTAATCTTTTAATTTTAGTATTAAAAATTTAAATGATATTTTATTAAATTAAAATAATATTACAATATATTTTTCTACTTTGAGAATGAAAAATATAATTAAACTAAAACTGAAAATATTATAATACATTTTTGAACTCTTTTTGATTAATTTTTTTTCCTAATTTTTTATAAAGTCAATTTTAATATTTAAAAGTATTTAACATTTTGCTTTCTGAAATGTTTTCTGTATTACCAAATTCCAGCTCTTAATAACCTCTACAACCAAATTCCAACTGCAGAGAAACCAAGTGCCCAAATTCCAAGCACCAAACAATACAAAAAGAATGTAAAGAAATGAAAAAGAAGAAACTAGAATGTTCAAACCAGCTTTATGCAATTCTGCTGTAAGTGTTTCTTCTTCAAAAGAAATCAAGTTGCCTCAAGAAAGATTTTCAAAGAACTTCTCAAAAACTGATGCGAATCTTTCTTGAAAAGAGTGCTGAAGTTTGCTTGATTGATTGCTCAAGGATGTGTAAAAGATGATATTCAATGTATGTTAAAAAAGTTCAAGCCAAACTGTTTTTATAGAAGATTTTCAAAACTGCTGGTTTAATTAATCTGTTAAAAGATTCTTTTAATCTGTTAAAAGTGCAGTTATAATGTTAAAACTTCTTTTAATCCATTAATACGTTCTTGATTCTTTAACAGATTTGTTTTAACTGATACGACAACGTTTATATCAATTAAAACACTTTACAAAAAATCTTCTAAGTTGATTTAATCGATTGTTTCGAGATTCAATCGATTGAAATACTGCAAAACTTTCTTGTAAAACTTTTCAAGTTATTTTAACTGATAAAAATAAGTTTTAATCGATTAAAACGCTGTGTAGAAATTTTTAAGTTGTTTTAATCGATTGAAACGAGATTTAATCGATTAAAATAGTTCTGATCGGTCATAATTGTATTCTGATCGATCATCCTAAACCCTTAAGTGGTTTTAATCGATTAAAATCAAGTTGTATCGATTAAAATATTGTAAAAACATTTCACTTGACATTTTAAGTAATTTTAATCGGTTCTATCAAAGTTGTATCAGCTTAAAACTTGTTTGAGAAAGCTTTTGTCAAAATACTTTGTTTTTAATTGTTAAAAACATTTTTAGAGGCATTTTGCAAAATCTTTTAAGTGAAGAAACCTCATGCAACAGAAATCTTTTAATTTTAGTATTAAAAATTTAAATTATATTTTATTAAATTAAAATAATTACAATATATTTTTCTACTTTGAGAATGAACAATATAATTAAACTCAAAATTGACAATATTATAATACATTTTTGAACTCTTTTGGATTAATTTTTTTTCCTAATTTTTGATAAAGTTAATTTTAATATTTAAAAGTATTTAACATTTTGAATTGTGAAAGGTTTTCTCTAATAGCAAATTTAAAAACATAATATTCAAAAAATAGTTAATGTAAGTTTTCATTATCATAATTGAGAAGATATGATAGCGGTTCCACATTAACCGCTATCTAAACTATAATTTAGATAGCGGTTAAGCGTTAACCGCTATTATAAGTGCGCTTTAAGAGCGGTTCTGTGGAACCGTTATCTTAAATGTATTTCGACTTGCGCGACAAAGATCTCGCTCGAGCGAAACGCCCCTGCACAAAATTGGCATTCTCGGTTGTATTTCGCTTGAACGACTATAGTCTCGCTCGAGCGATATCTCGATGAAAAAATGTATCAATAAATAAATAAAATATAGTTAGATAGCGGTGAAGGTTTAACCGCTATTAGAAGTGCTCTTTAAGAGCGGTTCCAGTGGAACCGCTATCATATACAACCAGATTTTTTGATTCTGATCGATTAGATTTTCAAAATGATCGATCATATTTGATAATTTTTTCAAATAATTAATTATAATCGATTAGTTTTCTAAATTATTGATTAGAATTGATTAGTTTTTCAAATAATAGATTAGAATTGATTAATTTCTGAAATATATACTAAAAAATTATAATTAAAAATATAAATTATTTAAGAATATTGATTATTGTAAAGATAAAGTTGAATATGGGAGGAGATGAGGATGATAATATAATGATAGAAGTTACAAAAATGTAGAATTGAGAATTTTGAAACAAAAAAAATTAAGAAAATAAAGATTTAATTACACTTTTAATAAATTGAAGATAATACTAGTTTTGATTTCTATTTTAACTATTTATCTTAATTATTTAAAACAGAGAAACTATAATTTTAGTTTCCAAATACTCAATTTAAAGAATTAAATTCATTATTATTTAATCTTTTAATTTGAGTATTAAAAATTTAAATTATATTTTATTAAATTAAAATAATTACAATATAATTTTCTACTTTGAGAATGAACAATATAATTAAACTCAAAATTGAGAATATTATAATACATTTTTGAACTCTTTTGGATTAATTTTTTTTCCTAATTTTTGATAAAGTTAATTTTAATATTTAAAAGTATTTAACATTTTGAATTCTGAAAGGTTTTCTCTAATAGCAAATTTAAAAACATAATATTCAAAAAATAGTTAATATAAGTTTTAATTATGATCGATCATAATTTGAAATGATCGATCATAATATAGTGGATATAATAGCGGTTCCACTTTAACCGCTATCTTAAGTGCATATTAGATAGCGGTTAAGGTTTAACCGCTATTAGAAGTGGTTTTTAATAGCGGCTCCAGTGGAACCGCTATCATATACAACAAGATTTTGAGATTCTGATCGATCAGATCTTCAAGATGATCGATCATATTTGATAATTTTTTCAAACAATTAATTATAATCGATTAGTTTTCTAAATTATTGATTAGAATTTATTAGTTTTTCAAATAATAGATTAGAATTGATTAATTTCTGAAATATATATTCAAAAATTATAATTAAAAATATACATTATTTAATAATATTAACTATTGTAAAGATAAAGTTGAACATGGGAGGAGATGAGGATGATAATATTATGATAGAAGTTACAAAAATGTAGAATTGAGAAGTTTGAAACAAAAAAAATTAAGAAAATAGAGATTTAATTACACTTTTAATAAATTGAAGATAATGCTAGTTTTGATTTCTATTTTTAACTATTTATCTTAATTATTT